GCCGATTGTTTATTGGTTCTTTCAAAAGGAATAGCAATTACCAACTTAGCACACTATTCAAAGTCTCCGTTAGATCGTTAGAGACGGATCTGCCATTTGTCTGAGCCACACAAGAGTCTGTCGAAGAGGCCTCATTGAACGGTCAAGCACACTAGAGAGTTTCGTCCACTGACTAAGAAAGTTAGAAGTGGATTAAATGTCACCGACATTGCAAGCTTAAGGGATGAGGGCTTGAAACAAGTCCTACGATTTCAAAAAGAAAGACTTCCGCTTAAAACGCACTTCGACAATTCTGGTTCCAATCACAGCACTCCTTTTAGCTCAAAAGGACGGATATCTCTAAGACGGACTGGATAATTATACGTTTCTGCCCACCTGCCCCTCTCCTAAGCCACACTTACTTTCCACTCAGGGCAAAATGTTAGCTTAAGGGAGGGGTAGGTAAAGGTGCTCACTTCAAAGAAAGTTGACTGTATTCTTTGTCTTATCATCTACACGAGTGAAAAACGAATACTCTCAAGCCAATTACAAGAGAGAAAAATTACTGTCGACGAGGATTTATTTGAATGGTCGCATTCCAGCAAGGATTTGGTCACAGATTCAAAAGTTAGAACTAAATTACATAAGTCTGGAGAAAATGTCTGGCTAAGCGTGTAAAACGTACAGAATGCGCTTCTCTCTTCGAGATGTCTTCGTGATGTGTTTATGACGCTTATATGGTATATATAAGTCTGATGTATAGGAATTAAGTTTATTCCCACGCGTACCACGTTGTTCTCGAGGTACCTCCACCCGAGTCATTATAAAAGCTCTGTGTGGCACCAAGGAATGACGAGCTGAGACCACAAGAAACTTATCCGGAACTTGTTATAAGCACAGCGACCACTGCGGGGCAAGCGGGGTGTGAAAAGGTCTGCAGCTGGAATCCAAGAAAATTTACTATCAGTATACGAGGATGAATAATTGAAAAACCTGCGGAGAGAAATTTATGCATGTTAAAATATGCCCTAAAAAAAGAGATAATGCAATAATTCATCTCTTTTTCTCTAGCCTATAAATTCAGTTTCCTCTTGCCTGTGCTGCGCTTAAAAGTATGAATATTCACCTCTTTTGAATCTATAACTTAAAAGCCTTGAAGTGATTTACAGGCTTCTAGAGTTACCTTAAACATCGCGCAGGGAAACGATTTTCCAATAGGCCCTCCTGAAGGTTAACATGGTAAATTCATGCAAGCAGTGTATTAAACTATTGTAGAATCAAAGCTCTTGTCAGAATAAGACTGCGATAAGAAGTGCCATGTCTATCGTATTTGCGTGAGCTATTGAAAGTTTAGCAGGAAAAATAATCGTCAACAACCTGCCGCGATTCCACGATACTTCGTTTGGCGATTGCGCTTTTTTGTNTATAGGAATTAAGTTTATTCCCACGCGTACCACGTTGTTCTCGAGGTACCTCCACCCGAGTCATTATAAAAGCTCTGTGTGGCACCAAGGAATGACGAGCTGAGACCACAAGAAACTTATCCGGAACTTGTAATAAGCACAGCGACCACTGCGGGGCAAGCGGGGTGTGAAAAGGTCTGCAGCTGGAATCCAAGAAAACTATCAGTATACGAGGATGAATATTTGAAAAACCTGCGGAGAGAAATTTATGCATGTTAAAATATGCCCTAAAAAAACAGATAATGCAATAATTCATCTCTTTTTCTCTAGCCTATAAATTCAGTTTCCTCTTGCCTGTGCTGCGCTTGAAAGTATGAATATTCACCTCTTTTGAATCTATAACTTAAAAGCCTTGAAGTGATTTACAGGCTTCTAGAGTTACCTTAAACATCGCGCAGGGAAACGATTTTCCAATAGGCCCTCCTGAAGGTTAACATGGTAAATTCATGCAAGCAGTGTATTAAACTATTGTAGAATCAAAGCTCTTGTCAGAATAAGACTGCGATAAGAAGTGCCATGTCTATCGTATTTGCGTGAGCTATTGAAAGTTTAGCAGGAAAAATAATCGTCAACAACCTGCCGCGATTCCACGATACTTCGTTTGGCGATTGCGCTTTTTTGTAGTTATTGTATTTAGAGGAAACCCTTCTGCGCGCTTCATCAAAAGAAGACTAGCGCGTTAAATACTAAAACGTGAAAGCCCTCGTGTGTCCCAGTTTGGGTCATTGTTAATCCCTTTTTTTCATACTTTAATGTATTTATGAAAGAGACGATTAATTTCAAAAAAAAAAAAAATCCCAGCTACATATTTGCCAGTTCCCAGAAGTAGAAGTGTTCGTTCTTACTTAGTTGGTTCACTGATAATTTCTATATGTTTAGTCATACTTTGGATGTTGAGATTAGGTAACATGCAATCGAAATCGTTACGTGCAAGCATAGGGGCAACTGCTAAGAGCACAACTAAATCCCATGATAGGTTTGTATACGCACTGGATGTCTTTGACCACCGCATAGCTATATCTCTAAATAAATGTCTAACAATATACGACTGCCTTTGTAGGCGATAAACCTATTTAGCTTAAACAAAGGGAAAAATAATTCAACAATGCACTTCGCATGCGGTCTGGATGGAGTGGGCTTACGAACAAGACACGAACTAGTGAGATAATAAACTACAACAGATTTTATAGAGTTGAAAGCTTCCTAAAAGGAGAAATAACTGATTATTTTGCAACAGCGTTTTTAATGTGGAAGTCCAGTTGAAAATAACGTAAGCCTGTGAGACATGTCTGTATAAGTGTTTTGTCGTTCGAGGGTGTGTCCGCCGTAGGAAACTTTACTTTTTAATTATAATTTTCATTGAATTCCTGATTTCACCACACAATGGCAAAGCAAGAGACAAAAGAATATCGTGTTTGCATTTGCTTTGTAGAATTGCTCAGCTTAAAGCCTTTATTATTTAGCACCTCAATAACAGAAAAGCGGGTCGCACTATTCGCTGTTGCATCTTCCGCCATCTAATTGAACGTTGACGGTTTTGGTCGTTATATCCAATTCACGCTCTTTGCATGTAAGCGATAATCATTTAACACTTTCGAGATAAGTTAGTTTAATCTTGTTTGCCATCTTCGGTTTATAATTCAAACATATAAACCTAGCATTTCATTGTGACGTTATCCGTATGTCTATTCTTCATCAAAGTTATTTGTTTTATAAACTTTTTATTGGAATTAGCCTTAAGGCAAAACGCGCCTCTTGGAAATTTGGGGAAAAATGGGGATTTCGACACAGACTACAAGGATTCATTTCTCGGACTTCAAAGAAGGGGAACATTATGGTTTATAAATGAGTCAATTAACATGCTGGCCTTTTGTGGTTTAATGCCATTGAATTATTTTCTTTCTTTCAGGAACTGGTCTGATTTTAAGGAAAAAACCCGTTTAAAATTTGGCCCCCAGTTATTTTATGGGGACTGTCTGCAATCTGTTGTTGCTGGAAATATTTGTAAGTCGCCAATATTAAGAATTTCTGTCTAAGCAATAAAACATAGAAGGACAAAGTTTACTGTGTAAAAATTTCTAGATTATTTGGAAAACCGAAAATATATATTTAGCACATTGCCACTTTGCTTCTTTCGTCAAGAAAAAGTGAAATAATAAGATGTAGACTACGATATAGAAGTTGCAAACGGCGATGTTTTGATTAGCAACGCAGGAAAACGAATCAATAAATAATTAGTTTGCATTTGCTTCGTCAATGAAACTTCGTCTTTGGTTGTGACACAGCGCATTAAGCAACGCTCAAGACAACGGCAGACAGTTCCAACGAAAAAAGATAGTTCTGACGGTTACTAGAAATCTTAAAAAAAAAAACAAGAGATTTCGATGCGAAAGCTCAAAAGAAGGAAATGGGTCATGTAGTTGATGCTACACGGAGATCCTATACTTGATTTCATTTCTACGTAAAATTGATGTATAATTTCTCGCTGCCATTCAGCTTCTCAACGACATGGCTTTCACTCCTTAATTAATTTCGTGGATTTGAGTTATTTGTCACATGGAGTGATCGAGCAAGTTAGAACAACTTCCTTCCGTTAGGTACAGCTGTTGCGCAAATACAACCGCTATGTAAGATCTTTCAATTGGACGCATAAAGAATAAACATGATGAATGAACTGTAAGGCGGATATTGGGTTGTGATAATTATGTAATAAGTCAATTGCTGCGGCATATTATTTTGAGCGTTAAACAAAATCATTCCACCCACAACTCAAATTGATTTTTGTGTGTTTCTTTCCCAGTCATTTCGCTCTGCGCTTTAACGGTATTTCACAAGGAAGCCCATCTTTTAAACACTTTAATTAAATAAACAACAATCGCTTTTGCCTCAGGAGTCCGGAACTAAGGGACTTAACCAACCGGAATCTGTACACTGAATCTTCCGTTACTGGTAGATGAAGTCTGATTTTAATATTTTATCCGCCTTTTTGTGTACTGACGGTAAAATAAAAGCATTGTTCTTTTAATTTTATTTAGGCAAAGTAAATATTAAGCTGTTGTTTTACTTAAGGGTTTTATTCACTTTTAAAGGCTCGTAGCCAAAGTACACAAACTGTGCGGACAGCAGACAAATTTTTACAAAATGTATTTAGAAACTTTAAAAGATTAACGGAAATTATCTGCGAATTGTTAAAACACTAAAAACTACAGAGCTCGGCTGTTAGCCCACTAGTCTCAATGATGTTAATCTCTTAAACTTGTCAAGACAATGTTTTCCAATTTGTTGGCTCTAAATAAAACAACTTTTCTCTTAAATCGCCGCACGCAAATTACCTTAATTCTTTCCTGTAATCAATAGAATCTAAGCTTCGTTGAAAATAATAAATAGATTTATTTCTTGACGAGACTACAATCTAAGAATGACTGACATATATGTGGCCTCGAATGAAGAGCGTCTAAAAGTTAACATGGCTGTTCTTATTAAAATTAATGGTGATTTAAAGTAAGGGCACATAGTGTCTTGATGCAAGACTTGCGCTATTTTTCAGTTTCCAAACACTTATCGATGGCACGCACATGGATAGTGAAAGGAGCCAGAAAACGTTGTCAGTCCACTGGCGGTTGGAAAGTTCCTTGACGAAGTTGCTTCAGCGAGCCTTAGTGTAGATGTTGGATAAGTAAATGCGTGAGAAGCAGTACTCAGGCTTCTGCTGTCATCATACCCTGGCAGAAGACCCAATCTGGGACGGAAGGCTGGAGACATGGCGCGCTCGGATGAGCCATAAGTCAAAGGCAAAGGCAGCTCCGTGGGAATTTCACCAGATGTGGGTCTGAGATGGGCTGTGTAAGGGAATGCAGAGAAGCTTGATCCAAATGGGTGATAGAGGAATGGGTTGTCTCTGAACATCAGCGGATGGCTGCATTTGGGTCGACGTGGCTTTCTACGTCTTCTGAAGTTGCCTTTGGCAAATTCTGGCAAATCCTTCGGGTGGATCATCCAGTAGTGTCCTTTGCCGTTCTCAGCCCTGCTAGCCTTCACGAAACAGTCATTACTGGACAGATTATGTCGCACACTATTTCTCCAGCCAGGGCCCTTTTCCTTGTCAAAGTGCGGATAGTTGCGGGCGATGAAGCTGTAGATGGAACTTAACGTCATTCGTTTGGTTGGCACGCTGAGAATAGCTTGCGCAATCACTGCCACGAAGGTTTCCGAGTTGCGATCGTCCTCTTTGGAGCTTTTGGACTTCTCTTCCTCTGCTGTGCCTTTTTCATTCTCTTTCTTAGCTTCATCATGGTCGCTTTCGGTTTTCGGCGTCACCGTGGCACGGTTATCGTCCCCTTGTTCAGTCTCTTCGACTTCCGTGATTCTACCGGCAACAAGTTCAGTCACACTCTCATCTTTCTTGTCCACAAGCAGCTTGTCAGCGTAAAGACTCAAATCGCGTTCGTGAAGCGTCCTGAAATCGTGATAATCAAACCGCGACAGTCTGCTCGGCTGAAGGAGGTACTTGCTCAAGCTGGAGATATTTTCCATGCTCTCTATCCACGAGCCTTTTGAGTTGAGAGATGTTTTTCTTAACTTACCAAAAGTAGGTGTTAACCGCACGAGTTGAGTGTGTAAATGACTAACGCAGCTGTGAAGAGAGTCTTTTATACGCTGCGCCTCGTCGAACCCACATAGCCAGTATTTGCATGCGCGCCTAACCTCCTGGGGGGTGGTTTTTTTTCCTCTGGGCAGGTGCTGTTCAGTCTAGTGACGTGTCCGTTATTTCAATGAAGGTAAGATAAACAACATTGAGCCGTTCTGTGCTGTGACCTTGATTACTCATTAGCCGAACAATACAAGCAAATCATAGCATCAATTTACGAATTTACAGCCAAGCGTTCAAGGATTTTTTAAGGCACCATTATGGAAAATAACAAACGGTTATTCCCGGTGTGTCAAGGTTGACGTTTTGGTAACATAAAAAAACTGAATCAATAGCCTACATTTTTAATTTGTTTTTCCTCCGTTTTGATATATGGTTCATTAAGGTCGTTTGTTGTAGTTTAAAAGCCCGAAAGGCGATCAAGTAAAACAGAACTCAGTGTGTATTTTAAGAAGCATATGTATTTCTTTATTAATTGTGTTTGTTGACATAACCAATACGCTTATGAGAATCCTTATGAAATAAAGGGTAATATCGGCCCTTTTTAGTGGTAAAATAACGCTTAAGGGAGTGATATTTGTTCTTTGTACAAACTGTACGTAATGGAGATCAATTCAAATGTAACTTTTTCAAGGACATGCCAATTAGCCTGCGAAAACTTTTATCACTCATCTGGGGGCAGGTGACATGAAAGTGTGAGAAATACTTTGTTCAAAAATCAAAGTTTACACATTTATTTACGGAACACATAGATCTCGTTTAATTAATACAACACCGTATATCCTCCACTAAATAATCCACACCGAGGTGTAAGGCGGTAAAACATTCAGGCGAAACCGACACGGGACCCAGAATAAAAGAAACGGTTATTCAATTACATTTTAGAATTGAGGTTTTATGATCATCTGCGGGAGAAATCCTGTAATGAAGTTAATTAGCAGCTCTGTGTGCAGTTTTAAAAACCTGAAGAAAAGGTTTTAAAACCTGTGACGTAAAATACTATACCTCCACGATGAATTTGAAAGTTTGGAAGGTTTATCACCTCGAAACGAAGTTCACTTATATATACACTTTAATAATATACTTTTCGAGTTAAAGGAAATGTAAAGCTTTCCCTATATTCAGTCAATTTTTATTCAAAATATGTTTAATGCAGATCTGAGAAAAGCAGATAAAAAATGTGGGGCATTAAATTGTTTTAGTTTCGCTTTTGCCTTGCATAATTTGTAAAGAAAAAATGTCTCATGAAAACAATTTTGAAAGTAATGGTCAAAATTTCTTTGTTAAGGCTGTGTTTTTTTCTTGTTTTCATTTTTACCTGTGTGTTGTGGGAATGACCTCGGTCGTTTGAAGTTTTCCACGCCTTGTTTTCATTCGTTGTATTGGGAGCGGTACGGGGAGTAAAGTTTTCTCAAAGCTTCGTATTGTTTTCTCTAACTAGGCAACAAAGCCGCGTCTAAATCTGTTGCTCGGTGCCATCCTCTTTCTGTGAAATATTAGCAACTCAAAGCTTGTTAAAACTGCTAATTAAATGGTGATTGTTCAATAAAGTAGGGTTATTTCTTTTCTTTAGCGAACAAATGCTACCGTTATAAACGATACAATAGAGTTGCGTATTTTCTGTCAAAGAAGAACTTCGTAGAGTTCAGGATAAATTGAACCTTTTTTATATTCTACGTTTTGAAGACCAAAAACGATTTAAAAAAGATAAGATTTAGACCTACGTCTGTTTAAATCGGACAGCAAGACTAATTTAATACTTGTCGGATCCTTCGAGAAATATGTGTGTGTATTCAGAAAGCGATACCCCTAGATACTACAAGCAAATCGTAATAAAACAGACAAAATTGGGCCTCATAAAACGCTCTGGATTTCTTTTTTTTCACATGTTGCCCTTTTCTGAAAAAAAAAAAACTATATAAAATAACTTATTAGCAGCTTCATGAAGAGAGTTAACTCCGCGTTGTGTTGAAACCTTAACATTGAAAATGATCAGGCTCAACATACAAAGCTGTCTGCAATATAGATAATATTTCCAAGTAAACAATACCACTTAATTTTTTTTGGTGAGAATCCGCACAAGGAGAAAACTGAAATTCCGAATTCGAAAATTCATAAAATAGAGAAAACGTATTTTTAAAATAATACTAGACTGCTAGCCTTTAAACTTGAAAAGGCATACTTATTATGCTACCTCCCGTAAAACTGAATAACATGTGTTTCGGTGCGGCTTTTGTGAAGACAAAGAATGAAGACAAAGATGCTAGCAAGACGATCATTATTTCATGATCATTGTGCTTTCAGAGCAGTGAAAACATTTGAATCTTGAATACACTGACGACAGCAAAACTTAGCAGGGATTACTTGACACATGACACAAAATAATCAGTTATTTGGGCCGGGAAAAAAATAGCACGGCGGAGTCTTTTGAAAGAAGAAAATACTGGAAAGGTTTTTATAACATTTTTTTTTGCTCCCTGAATGCCGGCGTGTCAAACACACAGATATCCGTAACAAATTAGGTGTCAACTAAAACTTTGAAGCTTTTTTATTTATTTCCTCCCTATCAGTGTGAAGTAGACTGTTGCAAATAGAAAATGAACCTATACTCGAAGTGTACAAAAAAAAAGAGCTCTATAGTATATGTTATGCTGGACAAAAGCGCGGATGTTTATGTACTGTTTACACACAAAAAAGGCAAAGCTTAACTGCATTTCACGATGCAGCTATTTTGTTTAAAAAGCGCGGGTATTACAGCACATTGACGAGCTAAGGTCAAGTTGAGAAAAAAAATTAAGTTTTGAAAAACATAGTGAATTGGCTGAGAAGAGAAGCTTAATGTGGGGGAATCGGTATCAAGATGATTAGGTATAGAAAAGGCGTAGAGAAAGAAATGATAGTCCTCAATAAGTTACTGTGTGTTATGTTGAAAGTATTGATCCACACAACTAAGATCACTTAACAGGTACATCAGTGAAAAGCATGCACACCAATGATTATATATCCTAGCGAAAGTGATACAGGCAAGACAAATATTTTCGAAAACCAAAACTCGAGAAACCTTTTATGAGGCTGCGATTTAAATAAAGGGAGAGTCGCGAAGTTCAAAGCCAGATGTCATTTCAATACACAACTTTATCATCACACTGCAAACAGCAAACTTGTATAACATCACTGCTGGTCTCTAGCGTCCTTAGATACGAAACTAAAGAAACTGCGAACTTGCATCTTGATGTTTTTTCCCTCGCGTTGAACTAAAATGCCACGACAGGTGCTTGTGTTGCAAACACGCGGTAATTTGGAGGCGATTTTGCACAGTCGGAGGTCAAAACCGTCCATTCTTTAACGATAAAAAGGGAAGAAAAGAAGGTTCGAAACAATAAAGAAACAACTCGATAACAAAGCTAGAAGGATTTTTGTTTTGACTCTGACTCAAGCCTTCTCTAAGCGTATCCCTTGCAAAAGTGTTCCTTTAATTACTGTTTTCAAACGACTATGAACACACGAAACCGCAAAAACACTTTCTTTCGTTGCACACTAAGAGCCCCTCAAATAACGAAATTTAAACCCGCCAAAAATCCTAACACAAAGGGAAGTAACGCTTAAAAGCTGTCATTTGAACGATCACACTGTCGAGTTGAGTATTCTGTGTCCAATATCCCGCGAGAGCTTGTAAAGCTAAAGATCTACAAATCTCTCTTCAGCCACCAACAAAATGAAGAAACCTTTAAAGTTCAAAGTCAGAACGCACTTTAGTTGGCTTTCATTTGAATGATTTCAAGATATAATACATTTTGTTTTATACCCAGAGACTCGAAATTGGGTAGAGTTTACATAACATGCTCTACAAAACAAGAAACTTCTGAGTTTCAGCAAGAGAACACAAAGGTTATGTTCTCTTAGTTTCAGTTGTTTAGATGGGTACACCTTTCGTAGTCACCCGCATCCACAAACTGCAAAACTCAGAGCGCACCTTCAGGAGCGTATCAAACAGCTGCACAGGAACGTATTGCACAACTGAACAGACTTTTATTTAAATACCTTTTGTAAGCGATACGTTGGATTTCCAGCCCCAGCCTCCAAACTAAAATCCTGTGCGAAAACGTCAAGATTTCTTGATGCAATGGATAAGGATTAAAAGCCATATTAAATGGCTAAAAAGAGAGTATTTGCCATGTCTCTGAGCGATAAAGCCATATATTTAGCGCCGGCTCACTGATTTGGACAAGGAGATTCGGACGGAATATTCGGATTTCGTCAGGAAATGTGTTGGCACCGACGCCATTTTTGACAAGATATTTTACCAGACTTTTAATTTCTTGGGTTTATCTCGATAAATAAAACACTCCAATGTGAAAACTAAACTCCAACGAACGCCTGAAAAGGTATTCTAGACCACTCTGTATTGTTCTGTACCATTGTTCGTGAAAGGAAAGAACTGAGATCGTTAAGTAGATTCTCCGGAAGTCCTCAGCATGTATATGAATTTCTTCTTTCCGATGCTAAGTGAGAAAATTTGGCAAAAAATCGTGTGGAAGGAATTGTTTACCTTTCTAATAGGATAGACTTGTTCGAATTATAGCAAAACGGCATATATGAGTTCAAGGTTTTCCTGTCATGCGGTTGGAATATTTATCTGCACGATGGAGACGACACAAGCGAAGTACCGAGTTTTAGATAAAATCCATTGGTATGCTATACTGTGACCATTTATCATGAGTCAAAACTACTGAGTACTATCTAAAATTCTAGTGGTACTGTTTATTGCGTCGTGTAAGGTGGTTCTAACTTTTGAATCTGTGGATGAAATCCTAAAGTGTGACCATTCAAATGAAAGCTACTGAGCAGTACTTTCCTGTGGTACTGTTTATTATGCTGTACAAGG